GTGGGTCCGTGTGAGCCGGGAGGGGCTGGGGGTGGCTGGCAAGGCGGTGGTGGTGATGGGGTGGGAGCCTTCCTCATCCCGAGACCCCTGCCCTCATCATCCCGTAGAGTAGAGACCCCCACGTTCACCACCCCGGAGAGCAGAGACACCCACTTCATCATCTCATGCTCTGGAGACCCCTCCTTCATCATCGTGTGCACTGAAGACCCCCACCTTCATCACCCCGAATGGCAGAGCCCCCTGCCTCCATCCCCCAGGGCAGGAGAGACCCCCACATCCCCCAGTGTCACCAGCCCTGCCTTTATCTCCTCGTGCAGCGGAGACCCCCACCTTCATCATCCCAGACAGCAGAGATCCCCACCCTCACAACCCAGACACCACACAGCCCCACCTTCAACTTTTTAAAACCAGATATAAGTAAGGAAACGAAGAAAAATGAGGAAAAGATCAGGTCTTTTCATTTTTTTTCTTCTTGGTGACTGGTCTTTGTCAAGGGAAGTTGCTTCATTTTAAGCATTCTTCCCCCTCTTTTTCCACACAGAAAACTTTGACTTTATTATGAAACACTACCGTCCACATAAAGGACTATTTAAAGCAAAGAAACAGATGTTAGTTTCCTTCTTCTGTGTATCAGATTTTACACACAGAAGACCCCCACTTCCATCTTCCCTATATCCTCTTTCAACCCCGTGGCAGATGCACCCCCCAGAGCCCATTTCATGCCATGCATGGGGCTGCAGCCTGCATTGCTGCTGTCCTGCAGGAGCCTGGAGTCTGTGACACCACGAGCAAGACACGAGCTACCACCCTACCACAGGAGCCCTGCTCCATCCCATTCTGCATTTCTGGGAGCAGGAAGATGATCCAAGCAAGGCTTTGTGGCCCATCTGGGTCACCAAAATGTTCTCCTGAAATGAGTTCCTCCCCCTGGTGTGCGAGAGGCCAATCCCAGCCAGAGCGAAGGGATTGATTGATCTTCAGTTCTGTGCGGGGGTCTATCCCCAATGCAACCCCAAATGAGCAAACTGTTCACTGTTTCTATGTGGAAGAGGTTTTAGAGTGATTTCTGTGAGCCAGAGAGGAGTTTGAGAAGAGGATCCGTGTTTACCCCTGAAAGAATTTTCTACCAAAGTCGTTGACATAGAAACCAAGAAAAAAGGATAAATAAGAGAAACCTGCAACTGCCTGTTCCAGTGAGTACTTTGTTTGTCTTTCCTGACCAATGAGTAAAGTGTAAACTTATGGGTTTTGAAAGAATGTATAAAAAGCATGCATGCTAGAATAAAACCAGGTTTGAAGCCCTCTGAAAATGGAGTGTCTTGCTTTGTGTTGTCTCTGTCTCAACTATGACATTTAGCAAACAAGTATTAAACATTCATGGTCTGCAAGTCACACAGTTCCTCATTAATTAGTATTAATTAGTATTTTCTCTTCTATTGGTTGAATGAGTCTCTTGCTTCTCATGCTAATTAGGGTGGAGGAGTACCAGTGTTCTCCTTTTGGGTCAGTGGGTTTCTTGACTCAGTGGTTGTGATCTTCCCCTGCTGCAATTAGCCACTTTGCCCTTTTGGCTGATGGCTGGCCTTGTTTTTTCCTCTCCATCTCGTGGTTGTGTGGCCAAATGTCCCTGATTTGTGTCTCCAGTGTCCCATGGGCTCTGGTCCCCACTGATTTATTGGCTGGAGTTTCTTCTCTCTACAACATCTGAGGCTTATTAAACCTGCAATTACTGACACGTAATTATACAGAATTTCTCTGTTGGGAAGATGAACATCAGGGTGGTGAGCTTTTACTGGGTCTGGCATATTCAAAGAGACACGAACAGCTGTGGGTTGCTGTAAGGTTGTTCATTGCATGAATACATCAGTTGGAAGGCAAGAGTTCAGGGTGTGAAAATCAGTGTTAAAAGCTTTCCTAGTATAGAGTCCCAAGCTGGAGTTTGGGTTATACATTAGAGGGGAATCTTTGGTATCAGGTGTTCCGGGAAGTCTGTACCTCTCAAATACCTCAGAAATGGGAAAAAAGAGAGAGAAATTAGGATAAAAAGGAGGCTGCTTAGTCCAAAAATTGGAGACACCCCAAGGGAATGCCCTGTGACCTCTCCCTTTATTTAAACAAAGTAAAAGGACTCCTCTGTCTCCTTTTTGGGCAGAAACCTCTGATTATGGGGTTTGTGGATTAATTTTCCTGACAAGGTCCTGTATTCATTTCCCTCCCTGAGGAACTCAGAGAGTCTTGCTTTCCAAGTCACCTGTGCAGCAGAGCTCGGGTTCCAAACTGCCCAGGGGTTCCAAACTCAGTGGAAACCGTCAGGCAGGACCTGCAAAGGTGCAGCAGCACCCTGGAAACCTCTCGCTTACTCTGCCGTTCTCCCACCCAGACAAATTGGAGGGAGCAGCAGCAGCCTCGGCATGAGGCTAACTTCCATAAGAAATTAAAAATCAAAACTGAGGGTTATACATTAGAGGGGAATCTTTGGTGTCGGGTATTTTGTGAAGTCTGTACCTCTCATGTACCTCAGAAATGGGAAAAGAGAGAGAGAAATTAGGATAAAAAGGAGACTGCGACCCCAAAAGTTTGAGACCCAGGGGAATGCCTCATGGCCTTTCCCTTTGTTTGAATAAAGTTACAGGACTCCTCTGTCTCCTTTTTGGACATAGACCTCTGGTGTTTGTGGATTAATTTTCCTGACAAA